GTTTAGGATAGGGGATGGACGCAGTGGTAGTAGTAGTAGTAGTAGTAGTAGTAGTAGTAGTAGTAGTAGTAGTAGTACATAGGGAGTACTACTACTACCACCGCGTGTATTCCAGCGCGTGCTGACCTCAACATTTGAGCATGCAGGATGGCAGGCTAGGGTGGATGTACGAAGGCGTTGTACGAGAGGTAAGACGCGTTATTGGCAAAGGCCATGCTTCCGTCTGAAGCTTGCGATGGGAGCCTGCGATGGGAGCCGAGTGTTGCGTAAGCTGAGTCGACTCGCGCGCGTTTTTTTAGCTGCGAACTCGGCGGTAATGTTTGTAGTAGCTTTTGGGATCAGCGTAGGGGATAGCGTGGGGGATGTGTTGATTTGATACCACGGGGAGGAAGCGTCGCAATGGAGAACACGTCAGCGGCTTTGGCTTGGGCTGCCGCGTAGGTTGTTGTACTACTTGTTGAACTTCTGTTTTGGTAGATAGGCCGCTAGCTTTGGTATGTTGCTTTGGTACAGGGACATTGTACATGACCTCTCCTAATCTCTGAGTCCGGCGCTGCTAGTGTACCTGAATATTTGGATGTGCTTACTACTGAAGCTGCATTGCTTCGTATACATACACGTACACGTACACATACAGCGCGAAGAGGAGCTTGCGCGTTCAGTACATTCTTGTCCGGCCTGCTCCTGCGCCTTTGAAGTTGTATCTAGATGGTCCGCACGGTTACAATCCCTTTGTGGGCGGGTGTGTACGAATGCGCTCATACCATTTATCCTCATTGTTTTCACGAGTTTCAGACCCTCGCAGTAGCTTTGGTCATGTGTCCGTACCTTCTTTCGAACATCTAGTCAGCTTCATCACCACTCTAGTCCATGACCTTCGCGCTTACAAGCAGAGGGCTCTACCGGACTTGAATTACCAGAGTACAGACGAATTTGCTAAAACACTAGCTTCCACGGTCGAGGACGAGGTCGCTTGTCGGAGTGTAAGGTAACGTCGTGCTGGCTATTGAGGTTGTACCTTGGTGGGCGGGGCGATCGCAATAGCTGTCCAGATAGTTGTGGGTAAGGCATCGCCTGACCGCTCAAGACGGAGTACTGTCATCGCCGTTGGTTCATTATCTTCCAAGCTCTTGCGCTCGTCGTTGGAGTTCTCCCCAGCTGGTGAATGAGAGTGAGAACTCTCGAATGTTCTGACACCCACAGACCTCGGTTTCTCGCAAAGAAACATCCAGCATACCCACGATCTTTCTCCATTCCCCACATCCACGGCCATTCACACCGCTCTACCCTCTCCACCCTCTCCAAAAGCGGAATTAAATAGTCTGTGCATGAGTCCTCCCTACTGAACGCGTTTAGAGCAATCGCGAATTATCGAATTTATCGAACGCATGCGTGTATGCGACTATCGCATGTGAGGTACATGGCTAGATATTTCGCGTACCGTGGTTTGTTTTTCCCATTCGGCCGAAAGCAGCAGTATCTCCATAGTATGCGACAGGGGACGGCCCGGTCTCTCATGCGCGAACATGAACTTGACAGAACGGTACTCGCGTGCTTGCCATGAGGGACATGTGCTGTCTGCTGTCTACAGTCGGAGAAACAGACATCTCCGCTACCGCTACCGCGCTTGGTCGTTAAGAATAGAACTTTCGACGGACAATTCTCCGGTCGTAAGCAGGAAGAATTTGTGATGTCGTCTGCCCTTCTCTTATCGCACAAAAGGTGCCGACGCCTTCCGCCCGCTTACCACCTTCCGCGCTGTTCCCCTTCCTCACGATCTCCATATAACCGGTTCGTATCTGCTACTGTCGCCTGCTACTTTCACGGGTAGCGCTGGTTTGCAAATACGAGGTTTGGTGGGTTTCTATTTCCGGATGTGGCGATGGGTGGGTAGGAGCACTAAGGTAGCGGGTGTGGCACCAGCGGGGATCGTGTCCTTCTGCCAGCCTCGTTTTTTCTCTCGACCACGGTGTACAGCTCGTACGACATCAACGAACACAGGTACCGTGGTAACATGTCCTCGTGGCACGGAGGCTGGGGAGATGGCGCCATACGGATAACCCTCCGATGTGGGAATTTGTTGTGTAATGGGAATGGGAATGGGAGGTGGAGAGGAGCTATCGAGATGGGTTTGGAAAGGTTGATGTTCAAATCCAAATAGCAGTCGGCTAGCGATACCGAGATGCGCGATGCGGAAAGATTCAATGCCACCGCATCCACCGGCACTTTCGCATACATATCGCCGTATGATGCCGTTATCGTGTGGTGGGAAAACTCTCGCCCGACTCGACCGGCACCGCCGTATTAGGTCACACAACCAGCCGAACTGCCCAACCTCAGTCTGGTGACATTGAAACACGAGGTGATCAGCTTGTCGACAAGAAGGCGTATACGGTACGGTACGTCAGGGACTGGATATGACGTCTGCGTGTCGGAAGCTTCAATGCGAGGATGCAGCGCGCAGGGCTAGCTCACCCGTTTTCGTCATGTTTCCAGCGATATTGACGGGCTGATCAGTGCCTGAAGCATGCTTAGGGTGAGCTTAAACGGCCGGGACATTGCTGCTACGGGCATGGTTCAAGCCTGCAGGGACAGTGCAGCGCTGCGTCTGCATGGATACGAGGAATGACGGTGGGGAAATAGGTGGGAGGGTCAATGTTACTTTGTTTAGTCGCGTTTTGTAGGTTGGAAGACGGTAGAACAGAAACAAACCCCTCATACCCTGCACCGTCCGTCTGTTGGCCATTACTATAAAGGGTTCCGCGAACGGCGCTGCACAAAGGGTCATCATCCTCAGCAAACTTTCAAAAGCAATTCACAGCAGTGACTAGTTTATAACTCCCTTTACAACACTCGCTTTCGAAGTTCTTCCACACCTCAACACACAAACTCGCCAAGATGAAGTACACCGTCGCTATCACCACGCTCATCGCCAGCGCCATGGCGACTGCCATCTCCTCCGACTGCCCCAAGCCATCGCACACGGCGACCGTCACCGGCAGCGCTCCTGCCTCGTCGTCGACCGCTCCTGCCGACGCCGCGCCCACCGGCTACTTCGGCGTCATCTCCTCCCGCAGCGCCTCGCCCATCCACCTCCAGTCCCTCACCGCACGCGGCGGAAAGTTCTACCTCGGCGGCGGCCCTCCCTCGTCCTACTGCCCGTCCAACCTCCCCGCCGGCGCCTGCCCTCCCGGTAACACCACTGTTCTGGCTGGCGGCCAGGGAACTCTCTCCCTCGGTGTAGTCGTCCCTGGTGGCCAGGAGGTCTACGTTGCGCCCGGCGGTGCTCTGCAGTACACCACTGCCCACTCCGTCTCCAAGCCCGAGGGCTCAGACGTCACTGGCTTCAGCCGCACCGCGCCCGCTGACGGCAACGTCTACGGATACCTCGACTACGAGACTGGCTTTGTTGCCTGCCCGGCTGGCGAGGGTGAGGGATACCAGGTCTTTGGTGCCGTTGAGGACGGTGAATTCGGCGATGACTGCCTTGGCTTCACCGCTCTGGCTGGTAAGTTCTTCTGCTTCTTCTGATATTTTTCAAACATGTGCTAACGATTCTTTGCAGTTGCGACCGAAGATGCTGGTGCCTGGCAATACTAGATCTCCCTCTAACACCTGGAAATGGTGATAGTGGGGATCTCTTTAATGTCTATTGGATGATGAACATGAAGGGGTAGATGGAGGTATCCATGCTGTACATATGACGCTCCTTAATGACCCGGGCACAAAAGTAATATAATAGTAATGCCTTGACACAATTTTGAAACTTCATTCTCTGCCTTCCAAGACTGCTCTGATGCGATTGACTTGCTCCTCAGCTGTGCCTTTCAGGCTTGTCTGCACAGCTACCGTCTTCTCCCTACTCTTCATGCCTTTAACAACTTCAACATCAGATTTCGCAACCCGAAGCGCACCAGCAATGACTTCCCTCACCGCCCTGTTGGCCTCTCCGTCTTTCGGCTGAGCGGCAACGCATATCTCAATGCGGGCGTCAGAGACCGCTGCGATGCCTTCGCGCTGCGCACTAACCCCAGGCTTGACATGACACAGCAATTGAACGGTTCCTGAGGTGTTCTTCGCGGACTTTGAAGCCACGAAACGGATTGCGGGACCGGACATTAGCGGCGGCGACGTTGAACACGGTAGAGTGCATGTGACTGCGATGAACGGTGCGTTAGAAAGGTCAGCTGGCTTTGCGTGCAAGCTTCAGCATGCGGCTGAACCGGTAAAGCCGATCGCAGCCGCCCATTCCACGCCGGGATTAGACCCCTTCCCGCCCAACCAATCGCTTTTCCAGTGCACCTCCAAGCCATCCTACCAGCAAAGGCGAGCCTCTACACAGCCGTAATCAACAAATACATACACAATTTGACTGTTCCACAGCATGCACAAAAGCCACGTTGACACCACCCATCCCATGCCCTCTGCACCTCCCTAAAGCGTGCTGGCGCGCAACCGGGGCCCGGTAGTGGGGGCATTCTTACGGTACCTAACGCGTTACCGGTCCTAAGATAAAGACTACTTCCCCTAAGTGATAAATTTGACGAGAGCCTCATCAGACGCTTCCTCTAAGTACAGGTGCACACGATGGAGGGAAAATTCAGCAACACGGAATTAGGTAAGAGATTGTAAGCGTATCCGGCGCAGATAAAATGCATAAAAGGCTGCCCGCCCTCGTTTTTGGGGTTGGTTTCTGCATATTTCGCATTTCTTCGACTTCTTGACAGAGTTGAGTTGGGATAGAGTCTTGTTTTACGCATTGCGGTATTAGCACTTTTCCTGCATGATAGATTGAAAGATATTTTATTATTGGTATACAAATTCACGGTAAAAGGTAAGAGACAACTGCAATTGCTTTTGATGACGTGGTTCGCAACGTGGTGGTTTGCTATCTAGAAGTCGCACTTCTGCGACCACCCAACCCACGTACAATCCCATCTTTCCCACAATCCTGCCCACTCCACACAACAAATCACATGACTGACCTCACCCCCAGCAAAATGACTTCCGCACCTACACTACAGCCCAAGTTCCTACCGAACAAGCATGACCTAGGCATCGTTGCAGTCGGCTTCAGTGGCGGCCAGGTAAGCCCATCCATCCACCCACCACCCATCCCCTCCCCAAATAGCTAACAATCTTTTTCCATAGCCCAAAGCCGGCGTCGACGCCGCCCCCATGGCACTCATCGAAAACGGCCTCATCAAGCAACTAGAAGAAGACCTCGACTTCAACGTCACCTACGACGGCCAAGTGCACAACTACTCCGAGCTACGCCCCGCCTCCGACGCCGAAGTCCTCAGAATGAAGCAACCACGATTCGTGTCCGCGGTTACAAAGCAAGTCTCCGACCAAGTCTACGCCCACGCCAAAACAGGAAAACTCGTCTTGACGCTCGGCGGCGACCACTCCATCGCCATCGGCACCGTGTCCGGGACTGCGAAAGCCGTGCGGGAGCGGTTGGGTAAGGAGATTGCGGTTATCTGGGTGGACGCGCATGCGGATATCAATACGCCTGCGTCGAGCGAAAGCGGCAATATTCACGGTATGCCGGTTGCCTTTTTGGCGGACCTTGTGGAGGATAAGGAGAAGGAGGAATTAAAGAGGGAGGATGTGTTTGCGTGGCTGGAGAAGGAGCATTTGATTAGTCCGAAGAAGTTGGTGTATATTGGGTTGAGGGATATTGATAAGGGGGAGAAGAAGATTTTGAGGGAACACGGGATTAAGGCGTATAGTATGCATGAGATTGACAGGTATGTCACGCGCTTTCGGGGTGGTTGGAGATGGTTGCTAATTTGATACGCAGGCACGGCATTGGCAAAGTCATGGACATGGCATTGGGTTGGATCGGAAGCGACACGCCCATTCATCTCTCCTTCGACGTCGATGCTCTCGACCCCATGTGGGCGCCTAGCACTGGTACGCCCGTACGTGGTGGTCTGACGCTGCGCGAGGGCGACTTCATCGCTGAGAGCGTTGCTGCGACTGGTCAACTTATTGCGCTGGATCTCGTTGAGGTTAACCCCAGCCTCGATGCTGAGGGTGCTGGTGATACTGTCCGCGCTGGTGTTTCGATTGTAAGGTGTGCGCTTGGCGACACTCTTTTGTAAGCTTGTGCGATGGGTGGAGTTTTAGAGGGGTAGATATAGATAGTGTTGTTAGATGATCAATGACGCAAGTTCATACAATATTCGTATTGCATGTCGCGAGAAATTATTCCTATTCTTAAGCCCATAGAAGCTGTGTTGTACATAAGACGCATTTGCATCATCTTGCTATCACCAATAGAATACATGATGCAGGACGAATAGATGAATGTTGCTGTTAGGAGGACTGTTACCGACAGCCACGATTAGTGTTTACATGCATTAGCGCGCCGAGGGCTGTTGACGAATATGTAGACTCAAAAGTATGTCGATTGCACAGTCGACCATGCACACTAAGGACTTCGTAATTGAATCGATGATTCGTTCCAATCTCTGTCATGCGTCCATGCTCGCTGAGATGGCGTATCGACTGATACACAGGAAAACAAGCAATGAATGAAGACTAATACTAATATATATAAGCAATCGACCCATTGTCCCCCCTCCTAACTCTCGAGCCATCAAATCCTTCTTTACACCATGCTTCTCCTTCTCTGTACCATCCGTCTCTATCCATTTCGCCATCGTCGCCACTAGCTAATGGATGCCACCTGGGGTCTCCCAGTCCATACCGCCTCAGATATCCTTCGGGCCTGTTGCTACTATAGCAATCGTCCCCCTGTTCTTCGTCTCCAGAGTCTGCTCTTCTGTCGGGCTCAAGTCTCGAGGAGCCTATTCTCGCGGAGCCTGTTCTCGCGGGGCTTATTCTCGCGGAGCTTGTTGTTGCTCGTTTGGCAGTCTTAGGCCGAATTGACCCACGCGCGCTATTGTGATCGGGATCAGTTGGGTATCGGTATGTGTATTCTGGGCGTGAGGGTGTTTCTCTCCTGTCTCGGTCACGCGATAGAGGCTTTGGACGTTGCTCTGGTTTCGCATTAGATACTTGTTCATCCCCTTTGTATTTGCTGTTTCGGTTCTTAGAAGGTAAGGTCCGGTGTCGGTACGGTGTAGGGGTAGGGGCTTGGGGAGTCACTTCAGCCTCCCGAGGGACTGGATAGTAGTATGTTTTAGTGGCTTTGGAAGTCTCTTTAGCCACCCCCATCCCAGGGACTGGGTAGTAGTATGTCTTAACGTTTTGGCCAGTTGGCGGGAGAGGCCCGCTTGGTGACGGCGATGGAGGATGTCGTGGCTCTGCATCAGATTCGGTGTTCTGATAAACAATCTTCCAACAATTTACGTGCGACGATAATCCGTTATTGAGCAGCTTGATCTGCGATCCCAATGGTCTCTTGCACTGAGAGCAGGGGTGGAGTTCTATCCAAGAACCTTTTCCGGGGTTGGTTCTGAAGAAACGTGTGTCACCATCTTCCTTAACAACGTAAAAAGAATAACGCTGTAAGCAATGCTCAATGGCTTTGAAGAGACTCTCAATTTGACCGTAGTATCGAGGAGGTAGATCGACCTTGTCTGAATGTTGCCCTACCAATTCGTTTTCGATGGACCCGATAGCGGTGGCAAATACCTCGCCGTTGGATTTGTACAGCAGTTCAAGAACTTTGCGAGCATAGATGAGACCCAGATGGCACAGTTCGCTTTTCCGGCAAAATACTTCGAATGGATCTTTGCAATCAGAACATCTGCGGGCGTGCATCTCGAAGTCAGTGGCAGCCTTGAGCTCAGAGTAATGGATTTGGCGTGGCATTAAGGCCGCCGTTTCAGTGGCACGTTCGCCAGTTGTGTTGCTGGGAGGGCGTGGTATTTGCTGTATGACTGCAGGCGCACCGTGTCGTCTCTGCATATGCAGTCTGAACATATCTGACTGAGAGTACCGCTTATAACAACCTTCAACAGGACACCAATAACCAGAGCGAGGCTCTGTGCACCAATTCCGAATGTGATGTGCCAGGTTTTTGACTGCATCCGCACCTTTCAGTACAGCGCCGCAGCTATACGGACAGTACACGCTATACTCAGCATCAGTCTGAGAATTCTCTGGCGATTGGATCGGCTCTTCTCCTAAAGTGTGAGTATCAAGCTCATCTTGAGAGTGGGTCTGATCCTGATCCGACTCATCACTCGAAGCCATTGTCCCGTCGGTCGAAGATATGCGTGGCTTCCGTCTAGTCTTAGCATTGTTTGCATCATCTGAACGGTCGTCGTCTAGGACGGGTCCCCGATGGGCGCGCGTGGACCATTTGCTTTCTATGCTGCCATGATCAGAAAGATCATCTGGCATGCCTTCAGCTTGTTGATCTGGCTTCTGAGCAAGGCGTGCATCTGTTTCTTCCGCCGACGACTCGCTCTCAGTCTCGCAATACGGTGCAGGAGGATAAGCGCGTTGATGGGTCGCGCTCAAAGAGACTTGTGCTTCATCCTCTTCTATTGTATGATCCGATATGCTTTGAACCAGATCTGGCACCTCGTATGCCTTTTCCACTTTCGTGGAGTCATGTGCGCTATGAGTTTGCGAATGAACTAGGAGTGTTTCTTCTTCATCCTCGGCAGACGCCCATTCAGTTTCTGAAGTGTCTTCGGTCGATTGAAGGCAGCATATGCCTTGAAACATATACTGCACATTTGGGTCCATGCAGGCTTCTTCAATGTGGTTCTCGAGCACGTGAACGTTCCAACGGTCTGTTGGCTTCTCTAGCAACATCTTCTCAATCCAGGTCGACGGAATCAGATCGCTTGATGGCCCTGCTGACGAACGAAGGATATCGATCCAACCCGTGATGGCTTCAAAGTTTGAGTGATAGCTCGTTGCGCATGAACCATGAGCGGCCATGTATATTTTCAACTCTTCAAGGGTGCGGGATCTCAGGACTGTCCACATCTCTAGGAATACGCAACCAAAGGACCAGATATCAGACGATGAGTTGCGTTCAGTATAGGCCATGACTTCAGGAGCGCAATAACGGGGAGTCGTGGGCGCTGCTGTCGCTGTGATACTACTGCCACTGCTGGACCAATCAAGAGCTGTTCCGAAGTCAGTGAAGTAGACCTGGTCGCCTTTGATGAGCACGTTTGACGGCTTGATGTCCTTATGCCGAATACGGTTGTCGTGCAGATAGCACAGCGCGGAGGTTAGACAGCCGAAGAAAGGTCTCAGGAAGGATCGGGAGTTTTCGTCAAAATCTGTCTTCTCCAGGAACGTCTGCAAGTTCGCGTCGGCGACCGGGAGCATGACGATGGCTACGAATCTCTTATCCGTATAACTGCCGACCAACTCAACAAGGTGCTTGTGAGATAGCTTCTTGAGGTTCCACAATTCTTTCGTGAAGTCTTTCAAGACTTGCTTATCCTTCTTGAAGGTCCTTCCTCTCAATATGAGCTTGCGTGCGTACTCCTTATGACTTATAGTGCTGACGACGCGATCGACGTATCCAAATCCACCTTTGCCCAGCTCTCCAACTTTCTTGAAAGGTACCTCTGTAGAGTCGCTGAAGTGTCCGTGGGGCGCATGTCGCTCAAGACTTAGCGCCTCCCGGTTGTAAACGAGGTGTTGCAACTCGAGGAATTGAAGTCGTGCAGAATGATCGCGCAGCGCCTCCGGTAGCGTACTCTTGTTGAATGGGAAGTAAACGTCTGTAATGTCGCTGTCAATGAATGCGTCAATCATGTCTTGCTGGCCAATCTTCCTGAGGATGCTATAAAGCCGCGGGACCCGGCTCCATCGCTCCCGTCCACAGCGCGTCAACACGTCTGCGATCTCGCGAATGTCGTTCTCAGTGAAAGGCGCCGAAGTCTCTTCGGCGTTGTGAGGGAACCATCTTCGTAAGAGGTCCTCCTCGAAACTTTGCTGGGCCATAGGGCGGTTTCATCCGACGGGCAGCCTATACGCGGAAGCCGTACACGTCAAGGCTGGGGAAGCATGCGCAAGGAGTGTAACGAACGCGGACTATGTAGCCCATCCACGGTCAGCAACGGTGCTGGCGATGGTTTGGCGAAATCGTAGGACGTGTGGCAAGGCCAAAACCTATGTTGCGAAGGATGGGCGGGGCAGTAGGCACCGCCCCCAATCGTGCTGCACAGCCCTTGGACTCTGCAGCTACCCTGCAGTTGTCCGCTGTGAACGAGATCCAATCGACATGCGCCGCAACAATCCTCCACAAATTTCGACCATCAAAACATTGCACCAACGTTGCAGTCATACTCTACACTGAACTGAGTGCCTCGCTTTTCAATCGCCCGAAAAGAATACCGCGTTGTCGCACCATTGCAGCTGGAACGGATTCGTCAAATCAAGAAGGATAATGCAGTGCATGGTGTTTGGCTTGCAGCCCCGCGGCCAAATCCTCTCGGCGACAGACGCTAGGCTCCATCAGGCATGGCCTTGGCGGTCTCAAAAAGACAACAGACGACTTCGCGCCTACAATATGAAGCAAGCGGAAAAGATTGACGTAATAGATTACCAAGACGACGACATGACAGAGAAAGACGAACGACATCGTGGGCAAAGAATACGCGACAACCCGACAATACTTTGACAGTGTTTGGAGATGAAACCCAACACCACTTTAGCTGATTCTAAGTACTCTACATCCATACTAAACCTCAATAAACCTCGCCATCCACGTCCCCGTAACACTCTTCGCCTCCTCCACCAACCCCATATCAAGCAACACCTGCACAGTCCCCCTCGCCGCAGCTTCCAACGCACTAAAAATCCACGTATGCGTAAACGTCGCCGCCTCCCCAATAAACACCGTATTGAACTCCGTTTGATAAAACGCCGGCAAGTACAATGTCTGCTGCCCTGCAATCTGCATCGTAAACGCGCCCGCCTGATGTTCATCTTGCTCCCAGCACTGGCGCTCGTAGTTGCCAGTCCAGTTCTCTTCGATGATATCTGAGCCGTGCATGAGCACGAAGCCGCGTTTTATGTATGCCATGTGTTCGGCTTCGGGCATGGCGCAGGCGACGGTGGCTTCGTAGTCGGAGAGGTAGGATGCGAGCATTGTGCCCGGGCCGGTCGCGTTGATGCCGTGGGATGGGTAGCAGATCTGGCCGAGATTAGGCTGGTA